TATTGAGGGAGTACAATAGAATTATATCGAATTATATCCGAACATTGAGCACCCTTACCAGCAAATGCGTATTACTAATACTTAGTAATGAAAATCGATGAACAACCAAATTGCCTTAGCAATCACTTATTAGGAATGTGGCTCATATATGAGGATAAATATTGATTAAACGGCTTGAACTCACCATTTTGCTACAGTTAAACAGATTTAGAGGATTAATTTGACGACAAATTTATCGAGTAATAGAAATGGTAATGAGTTTTGATCTCGAAATTCGTTCAGAATAAAGATTCTGATGATTATAAACGAAAGCGAAGGCTATTGAGGATAGGAAGAAAATCCAATCTCCGGCAGAGGTTGGCAATCGCTGGGGTAGGACAGAGGCTGTGCGGTATCAGCATGATAAGGAGGAGGATTCGAAAAGCTCTGTATAAATAGAATAAAATAGAAGATAGAGTTTAAGAAGGATCTTAGGGACAGCAAATGAAACGTTCCAAGCAAAACTCTTTGGAATGAAAAAAGGTGGACATGAAATAAGCTGTCTAGAAGAGAGAAGTACAATGGGCAATGCGCTAAATCGTGTTAATAGAAGGATTATATTGTGTGTACGAAATCGACACATTAAGCAAGAATATCGGAATAACGGTCTCTTCTCAAAATCTAGTAACAAATTGAATAGCTCCTGAAAGCAAAGTTCTTAACGAGAAGCCAGAGCAACCCATGGCATAGTGCAATTTTGACAGGAATTAATGTTGCTCCAACCGATCATAACTTCTAAGCTCTTAGCCTGGATTAATCTGAATCGAGAAACACATAAGTTAATAGTAACCAGTATGACTACATCAGAATAAAGATAGGCAAAAAAAGAAGCATATACAGAATATGCCATCACGATTTCTTCAAATGATAATTAAGAAGAATATAGAGATAGAGAAAGGCTTATTGTATAACGTTAGGCATATATCAGTCTGAATGTAGAGAAGAAACCAGAATAAAATTCCGAGCCATTAAGCCAAACTTACAAGTTTGCATGAAGCCCAAATTCTATTGGACATGATTAACTCATTTTGTGTGAAAACTATCGAAGGAGTTCTATATGCGGGTCTACTCGAAGTTATTTATAAAAAAAGAGAGTAGGGAGATGAAAAGTTGATCTAACTAAGCAAATTAATTAGGATACTCTAGGAAATTGAAGCCTAAAATAGCAGAGAGAAAGGACCCATCATGGTATATTAAAAAGATAAAACAATGGAAAATGATGAATAGAAATTCTACTTATAGAAACGTATCCCGTCGGAAAATAATTTAGGTATTAAGAAGCAGCTGCCATATACATGACACAACGATTGGTGTACAAAGCTCCTGTAGAGTACTCTATTTTAAGATAAATAACTAGAAAAAAAAGAAAAAACCAAAAGAAGACAAAATAAGTGCTAAATGGCCAATCAAAGATAATCAGGAAAAACGGCAAAGGTGACTAAAAGGCTAATCTGGCTAGTGATGTGTGGTCCAGCTAAGCTTGTGACTAAATGCTTAATAATTCATTCTGGCGCTAACCAGGAGACTAAAGAGAACAGGCTTAACTTAAAAATGATCTCCTAAAAATGAGGGCCAAGGACAGCAATATCTCACTCTTATGACTTTGACTACTTTCCCATGACACCTAACTGCATTATGTAGGGTAGAAAAACTATTACACTTTAAGGCGATGCATCACAAATTCTCCTTGCCAATCAAATAAAGAAAAATTCCAAAGCTACGAGAAAGCTTTCAAAATTGATACATAATTCAGCCTAGTTGTCAGCCAATACATAATATAATGTAAGCTGACACAAATTATAAGAAAGAGAAAGAATAGAACACGGAAAACTGTGTAAGCGCCACAGGAGACATAAACTGGAGTGGGGAAGACAATCTAATACCGACACATAAAACAGGTTTCTGCACAAAACTTCGATATTCTACTAGTTTATCTTTAACTAAGCCAGTTAAGAACCTTCGGAACTCATGACATGATTCTGGTGGATAAGAATAGAATAGAGTGTAAAAAGTTCGAAACCAAGTTGATTTGGCTAGGTCGACCTAAATCAAGCAAAGACATAAAGGATAGACTTGCATTTTAAAACTATGATTAACACCAATTTAAGTTATCTATAAAAATAGAGCTAAATTTGAAGGACTGCGGGATATTTTGCAAAAAGCCAATATCCAGCCCATCAGAATCTTACCTGAGGCAAAGAATGAGGAGGGGAAGGAAATGAAGGCATAGAAGGTGGATGTGATAAACCAAAATTTGCATCTCCGATACCCGTCGGCTGAATAGGTAGTGGAGGTGAATGATGAAATTGACGCATGGTTCCTGGTGGTGCAGAAGCTTTAGGAATGATGCCATCAGGGGGAATGTTAGCTGCTGTTGCTGTGGCAGTCGGACTCACACGATGTGGCGTTTGTAGCTCTTGGTCTAATGGAGGACTGGTGGCTGAAGGGGAAGCCAGAACTCCTGAGAGTGGGAGTTGTCGCGGGTAAGGGATCTGTGAAAGAAAGTGAAAGCCAAGAGTTTGTTTGATGTAGCAGAGAGCATGAAGTTGGATAAGCTGATTTAGAAAATCGAATTTAATTAATAGGCCCATATACTTTAGGATCTAAATTTCGTTTTCCATGTCGCTTTTAACCAACTCAAATTCGGCTCTGATGAACTTGCAATGATGATTGTGCCAAATGATGAGGTCTGCTCCCTTAGATACGGTTGCTTGATCTGATTTTACTGAATTTGTCTTACCCCGTCAGTGTTTAACATTTCAAAATAGATTGTGAAATTTTAATGGCAGTTTCACGTGGCAGTCAAAAAGTGAGAATACAATCATTGTATGACTAATCTGCTAGCTGGGCAATTTCTCGTTATGATGGTTCGCAACATTTGTACCCAAAATATTCAAACTAGTTTTTCTTCCTTCCACCGATTTCTGCTCTTGACGTATAAAAGTTGTACTAACATGTTTCAGCGTTACTGGGGATTTTGCCACGTAAAGCTTGGCTTCGGTAATGGCCTGATAGACATTACACAGCAGAAGGACCAAGCAAATTCCGGCTACAGAAGCGACCAAACCGACGAGGAAGATGAAGATACCATAGATGGAGGCCGCACTGAAGATCGAAAAGTGTTAGAAAGGCTAAATTAATAAGTTAAAGAACGAGACAACAATTAGTACTGGTAGCATCGAAACCAAATAAACATGAATACGATTAATAATCATAAATGATGCCGAAACATTTTCCCGAATCAAATAATCAGAAAATTGTGACTCATGCCAACAATCGTACTCGAGAATAATAAATTTTCTTTCTCGCCATTTCCTCCTCCCACATTAGAACAGCAAATATTTCACACTAAATCTCATACATCGAGTTATTTGGCTTTGCATTAGCCTACCTTATGTCCTGCGCTAGCAATGTTTACAACAAATCCCGCTTTTTCGATTCACAACACTTTGTAGGCTATCTTCCAACCTCTTTTGTCTGGGTTAGCAAATCTCCCTCCCTGCCCATCACTCCACCTCTTGATATTGCTAAGAGTAGCAAATAAGCCCAAATTGATAATTTATCTCCTCTAACATTTACCTTAACCTTCTAATTTCCTAATCTTGGTGACACAAATCTGCAAGTCACAGAATCTTATTTTATAACTCCAGAATAAAAAATTGAAAATAGACCAGCATTAATGGGTCTTCTTTACATATTTTTTAACAATCCAGTGACCTGGCGACCAAATAAGACATAAAGAGCTTGCTACAATTCCATGACAAAATAAGTCATCCCCCCTATTCTTTCAACTACCTTAAAGAAATCATAAAGGTTCTACTTTCAATATTTTCAAACAGGAAATATGTCGCGCGATTACCATCAACAATAAAGTGCTTCCTCAATTAAGTCAAGTAATTATTCGTCTAAATTGAAAGCAAATCTTATCCCATACTTATACGTACAAATTACAATGCAGTGTTCTACTAAATCCAACGCCATCGCAGAGCCTCCAGCATAGTACCAGCATTTCTGGACATAATTATAAAAATTCCGCCGCACTAATGTTTACCGGCATCAATGCAAACTAAAGACAGTCTACAAGTTATAGATGTATTCACCCTATTTCGTTTAAGATGAAGTCCGTTGACATTGTTTTGGCAGCTTGGTCGTGTTGTCAGGAGCAGCTCGAAGAAAGTACTTTGTCGTGAGTTTATAGTATCCATGCGAAATTCCAGTCGGACTGTGGACTTGGTATATCCTCAGATGTTTCGCCAGTAGTGTCAGTGAGCGTGAGACGGATGAATTCGATCCTTTTACCAATTGCCCACTAAACATTTATGGTATCTCTCTTTCTGTCTTGGTGTATTCACCCATCATATATCCTCTTAGCGCCCCTTAACTATCATCATTTATTACTTGCTTATATAAATCTAGTTAAGATCTGCCATTTAGAGCGGATTTAATGAGAACTATGCAAACTCTTATTCACCTTCTCAACATCACCCACGGTGTTCAGAACGTTGATCCGAGTCCGCAATCCCGTTCCTTCAGGTCACCCTTTTGCCCCATGGGATCCGTCTCTTATCTCTCCAATTGAGTGACTTGACTCGATCACTGCCACCATATCCGTGCTACGTGAGGCGTTACGTTCTATACTCGGCCTCAAGCCCCCAAATGGCATCGAAAACTAACTTGACGTTACAGATTCCATTATCACTGCTCTGCATGTAAACCGAATAGATATCATGGTCAATCCTTTACTTAATAGGCCACGTCTTTGCTCTATTAATAGCCAATTGTCAATGCTCTTCTATCCATAATTCCAAGTTTATGATTTATGGCCTAGTCCCTTGTGTGCCGACCCCAAATGTAATAATTATTCTACTTTATATACTGTATGCATCTCCTTTTGGTTTCCGATTGTTGCTCTAGATCACCCCGACACTACGGCCAAGTTGCGAAAACAAGGTCAAACAACTTCTATAGAACGAAAGGAGACTGCGACCATAATAAAGACCACATTATCTTGGTCTTAAAACGTCTAATTAAAAATCGTTTCTTTATTAAAGAAATAGATCAGCTTTTAAATGCAGAATCTAGCTTTTATTTTCATTTTACTCACAGATAGATTCGTTCCTCATTCGACTGCATCGCCCAACCATACTTGGTGAGAAGAGTGATACCAATTGAAATACAAAGAACGCCGACTAGGCAACAAATAATGCTGGCCATCCGAAGCCGCTTAGTTTGTTTTTGTCGGATTTTCACATCATTACTAGTAAATAAAGGAAGCATGGCATCAGACTCCTGTCCGGTCGAGGAAGGGGGAGGACAGGAAACAATTAGAGGAATCGTTTGGCCAGTTGCTACATTCGCCATGTCAATAGTAGAGGCCTGAAGCAAAAGGTAAAGTGCGGATCTTCAAGTGATACTAATGAAATAGCTTGCACGATAAGTTAGATCCGAGAAACGGGTGCATGACTTAGTGGCAAGTGAACAAGCACAAAGTGATAGTGAAAATGAATAATTGGCAAAATAAGGTTGAAACTAACGGATGAACAAAAGAAAGATCGCTATGACAAGAACCTGTACAACTTTGGAGCCCAGATTGATCATTTAAATCTTGAAATTTAAGCTAAAAGGGAACATAGAGAAGACTTAGTAATTGTGGAAGGATTCGGGAGAGGAACAAACGAAAGTTGACAAGTGAGCTGACCCCGTTTTCGCAACTTGGTCGTGCTGTCAGGGCGACTTAGTTGAACGCACCTTGTCAGAAGTCCTCTACTGTAGTAACTAACATAATTCCCAGCATCGGATCGTGGAATTGGTACATGCCCAGACGTTTCTCCAGCATCTTCAATGAGCCTTGCAAGTCTCACTGACGACGCCGGCAAAATTGAACTATTGGTACTTTTTATTGGATGAGACTTGCGACGAAAATGAAAGTTCTGTCTATCCTCAGCTTGGCCGACCTTATATCAAGAAGTAAGGAACTTTCAGTTCACAAAAGCAAGCTATAGGATATTTGAGAATCAAATGCAAACAGACAATAAAATTAAGAACCGACATATAAGCTACACCATAATAAAATTAATGAGAAGACCCTAGAAATTCGGAGTCCCTCAATGGTCATGAATCGACTCCCTAGCACCGAGCTATGATCGGCCAAAATGACAATTCATAGACGCATTATCGACACTAGAAGAGAGTGAGTGGGTCTGCCATCGTGAGATTGCCAAAACACTTATCGCAATAGGAAGACATGATAGATAAAGCCACAATATGGAAAACATATAAGTAATGAACAGGTTTTTGGCATAGCCATTAGACAGTCATCCACTCAAGATAACTAGGACGACTAATTCTCATTCATGGTATGTTAAAAAAGTAACAAATCTTCATTAATCTTGTTTGGACTCGCAAAAAATCACCTAATTTAAACAGAACATCTAAGGAACTCCTCTATGAAGTTGTGTAGTTGCTAGCTAAACATTGACATTAACAAAGACTAGAAAAAAAAAACTAAAATGAAGATCAGACGCTCACAGCCTGAGTGCAGACAACTTGCGGACAAGCCAAACGG